CAGAACTGGAAGAATATTCTGAGTCATAAACTTTGGGAGTCAGGAAAGAAAAAAGTGAAAGAGGAGAAAGCATCTGGTAATCTACACAAAGACTTCAGGAGAGCCAGATGCCTTCTGGGCTATTGTCCTAAATTCAAGATCCTGAAGTTGGCCCATTTATCTCTGCCTTTACCATGATTAACGAGCAGCAGAAAAAAGATGAACGAAACAACAAAGAACTTACGGGCCTCTGTCAAGATGCTGTAACTGATAATAGAAATAGCCAACATTTCCAGGTATCTGTCTAGCTAATATCACAGCCTGAGGCAAAATTAAAAAAAACTGCTCTTTCTTGTCTGAAAGAGACTGGCATATGGCTGCATCACGGTTTGATAACTGAAGGGGTGTCAGGTACAGTATTAATAGTCTTTTTCTTACCTCCTGGCCCTCTTTGCTATACTTCATAATATAGGGCATTTTAAGATGGAGCAAACTCTGTACTCTGAGAGGCGTACAGACTTCAACTATTTGAAGCTGATGCTTCTTGCACATTTTTGCTACTTGTGCACTTCTTTTGCTGCATTTGGTAAAGAATGCAGGACATTAGGTAATAACAGTCTTGTATGAAGTGTGAAAGAAAATACTGGTGATTAAAAGTGGTTTATGAATTTACTCAGATATTAAGTAACAGATGCATGATGGAATGCTGATGCATGATATATGCATCTGGCTGAAAATAGTAAAATCAAGTGTATGCAGAACAGTTCTGAACACTAGCTACTGTTACACAATATGCCATAATACAGTGTAGACAACCTCTAGGTAGCTCCAATTGCAATGAAGAATATGAATAAGCTTACATGGTAACATGACTACCTTCTTTCCGGTATTCAGATGTATGCATTTAGAGTTAATCTGAATATCTCAGTGTGTGCTTGCAACACGGATGTGTCCGAATACATAAAATGGTTGAAAAATTGAAAAATAGTTGGCTGGTTTGTTGAAGACTCTTACAAAAGATAAGATTGCATCCATCCATATGAAACAGTGACATTCAGTAGTAGGATTGAAAGTGCAAGCACTAACTTATAGCAGAGGCCTTGAGAACGCAGTCACAGAATGATACCAGAGGTCCAGAAGGTAATGCAAATTACTGGTCAAAGTATGGACTGACCTGGTTTTAAGGTGTAATAAAAAAAAAAAAAAAAAAGAATAAATATCCAGCCTCTGTAACAAATCCCATATATGGTGACAATGCAAACGTGATTCACAGCCCCTACAAGAACTGGAACAAAAGAAGAACAAAAAGAATTGTACCAAAGTTGTTTCCCCCAGACAATGGCACCACATCTGATCCATACTGCTGTTTATCTGCAGGAAGTTGCCCTCACCTTTGGTAAGGAAAGAGCCCTGCTTTTTGATGTGCTATTCACCACATTTTGCTATTGCCACTCAGCAATCATATATATTATCCTTTACTATATAATTGGTTTAAATAAATCAGAATTTTAAAGAGCAGTGTATGTGTGCACTATCATGCCTTGTGCTCCAGCTTTCCCACATAAGGTGGTTGATACTGCAATACTAAGTAAAACTTGGGTGTACAAACAGCAGCAGGAGTGCAAGATATTATATAAACTCATAGATACATTTTTAGTGGATAATTCTATATAGTGCAATGCCATATTATTGCTGAACTAGATAGATAGTGAAAATAGTATAGTCCTATTGGCAGATACATTATTCCCATGAGGAGTATGATGCTGTCTACTAGCCCAGGAAGTGCCACACTAATTTGGCTATGTTATTTTGCTTCCGTTACCTATGCATAAGTGAATATTCATATCCTAAACTCTGCATGATGTTTTCAGACATATGTGTAAAAGTTGCATGTTTCTGTATGCTCACAGAGGTGCGTACTACAGGAGACGCATAGAAAGTGACAGTGCAATTACAGCCAATACTGTAATTTCCCTTTATTTTTATTAATCATTCTGAAACTTTGCTAGCCCATGGCCAACTGTACCAGGCAAAATGGGTACATGGGCATTGGGTACGTGCCCATTTGTACATGGACAAAATTGCAATTAAAATACAGTCATCTTGGGAGAGCAATGCATATGGCAATGCAGAATCTCCTCTTCCTGTTTACCTTTTGGTTGGGCAGGTGTTGTTGCCTTTACAGAAACAATTTTGATTTTCATTTTCCATAAACTTCTTATATAAGTTTCTGTACTAAAAACACTTGAATTGTATGTTTGAAAAAAATGTAAGCTAGTAATTTTAAAAATATGGAACACTACAATTAGTTAAAATATAAATATGTGAAGATTTTCTGACAAATTGACTTTGAAATTTCAAATCAGTTATATTTGTTTCAAAAGCTTTGAGCTTTTTCTTTTAGAACATTTGTACTCTTATTTCTTATTTCTTCTTACAGCCTTCAGTTCTGAGATCACAAGATAGATTTGTTTAAGTTGGGAAATTAAATTAGTATTGTGAAGAAATGAATCACACCTTTAAGATTCCTGAAGAAACTGGAAGATCTTATAAAAATCATGTCATCCAGTCACGGACCACAGATGATAACATATGCCTCCAGGGATCGGTTATAAAGCTAAAAGGAAATTCTACTGATCACATGGTGAGTAGTCTTGTAGCTGAATAACCACATTTATAAAACCCAGCAACATCATGGATTTTAACTTAGTTAAAATTCTCTAAATTATGGCGATTTTACTCACAGACTAAAGTCTTTTCATTTTAGCACAAATAGTTGTGCAAGACACAGGATTAGCACCCTAAGCACATGCAAGATATTTTGTTCTTTACCCATCAGTTCAGTGTTTTGGATATTTTTCTTACCATCTTTCTTACCTCTCATCAACTATTCTATTGTTGTTGCTGCTGCTGCTGCTACAGTGCAGCACTTTCAAAATTTGTATATCTCTGGACATATAGATACACTGGAACCTAGCATCCTGAATACTTTAGAATCATTGAAATAATATCACAGATATTTGAAAATACTTAAGAAAAGTATCTTCTTTATGTAATTGAGACTGGGAAAATTAGGAATCAGTAACTGAACATTATATATTAGCATAATATTTAATGAAAGACAATAAATAATTTCATGAAATCTTTCCAAGAATGTTTTAAGCAATGCCTACTGGGATTTATGTATAGAAAGAACATGAGGAAGAAGGCGTACGCTCTAAGATGTCTTTTCCAATCTTACTGTAATCTTGCCGTGTGCCTTTCTCTCTAGAAAATGCAATAATGCTCTTACAAAATGCTCTGTTAAAACTGTATATATCTACTGAAATACGGTTCTCGAAAAGCTATCAGTAAATGAATAAGTCTCTGTTACATTTTGTTCTAACAGTAAATATTAGAGAAGCCTTTTCAATTCTCCTCTTTAAGGGGACTAGCTTGACTGAATTCCAGCATAGCCCTAAGCAATGATCTAACGTATTTCTTTGTCTTTTCTTTTCCTTTTTTTTTTTTTTTTTAATATTAAGAACTGCTTGCTGAGTGTTGAGACTTCTTAATGATTCAGTCACAAATGACAATGAGATTGAAACACCATCCTGTAAGGAACAGAAAATTTATTAGTGTTATACTTCCATACACTGCTGTAAAGCTTTGCAGAGTCCGTTAGTAACCATGTACCGTTTTGATTTTAAAAGTTATCTAAATCCCAGGAAAGTAAGTATTAAAGTTCATATACCTGTACAGCGTCTCAAAGTACCGTTTGATCTAGTTCAAGCAGTGGCAATAAATAAAGTCGCAATAATTGCCAACAGAGGTATCAATGTCATTGTGTATTCTCTGGATATTTAGAAATTAATATTGTGTCTTCAAGCTATACAACGATTAGGCAAATACTACATTTTTAAAAGCGACTACTGTTTATATATTTTAAGCCTTTCAAAATACTTCCTAAATATTGTTTGCACTAATTAATAACATCTCATATTCCAAACTGTGGTTGTGACTGAATTTGAGTAGTTGGCATGATGTGGCCACAACTTTGCAGTTAAGATACGTAAGAATAAATTTTGTTAGCTTCATGTAATAACATTCTGTCATGGGCATCAAATACTGTTCATCTTAGTTACACTTACTGCATAGTCATGGTCAGCAAACTGTAAGTTAATTCCGGCAATATAAAATGTCCTAATGAAGAGCTGCCTTGGAAGACTATGGGATGGATTCTAGCAAAAATTATCATAGCTCCATCACAGCCCCTTGGTTTCTAGCTGGTGTTACACAGGTCTTCTCTTTAGAGCGAAGATATTCATAGTAAGAACTAAATACATCAAGGCACGTACTGTAAATTTCTAGCTAAGCATTTTGCCTCTCATCTACTCAATCCTTGGCAACACAACCATCAACAAAGAGAAGAATAATATGTAAGGCTCATTCCTAGGAACCAAAAATAAAGTGCAAATAAAGGAAAGATTAACTCAAAAAGCTGTTCTTTATGCTCCCATTCATGAATAAGTTAAGAGAGGAACTGAAAGCAAAAGAGGATTTGTCCATACAGTCAAAAAAAAGAATGTAAAAAGGAGAATAAAGAGGATATCTAAAAAACCCACCACCCTGTCCACAGCCACAGAACGAACGAAAGAGGAGACAATCTCAATGCTTATCACCACTGGGGACCTCCAGTGAAAAAGAAAGGAAAAATTCATTGAGCTTTTGACAAGCTAACTCATTGATCTTACTCTAACAGTTTTTATGGAAGAGGATGAATTACCATTAACTGACTATCTATTTATACTTATATTCCAAATCATTGTAAATCAATATTTTAAATATTCTAAGTAGAAATGTTCTCAAATCACAAAATATGTTTCTGGATTCAATTCTAGTATTTGAACAAATAAACTAAAACCTAAAAATATTTAATTGATGAGCTAAAATTCTGGACGTGACTGCTTTTACAGAGGGTGGGGAAATTATTCTTCAGGTAACATAGCAGGAGGCACTTATGCCTCAACGTAAGTACTTACCCACTACTGACATTTCAGGAACACTCGCAGTATAAATTTCTTCTGGAAACGTTGGTTCATTGTCATTGATGTCATGGATTTTGATGACAAACTCAGATTCGGGTTCCACTGGTCTCAGAGTTCTTCTGTTTATAGCTTGGGCACGCAGGGTGTAAAAGGCTTTCTCTTCCCTGTCAATTCTCCGAGTGGCGTGAATGTCACCAGTTTTCTCATCAATAATAAAAAGAGTACCAGCCCCATCTCCTGACAAAATGTATTTGAGGGACCCATCTCCCTTGTCCTGGTCAGAATGAAGCTGAAGTGAAAAAGGAAGAAAAATAATGGATTTTATTTAGAAGAAATAAAAGGATTTTGTAATTATTATTATTTTATATGTTAAATCATTCTGCGTGCAATAAGCAAGATTAATACCTACAAAACAGTCACGTTCAGTCTCCACTGACTTGTAGTCTTGGTGTTATACTGAGGCATCTTTTTACTAATTTAACTCCAAGAATCTTAGAGACTGCTGTGGCAGATTTGAGTTCTGCAGCAACACCTGTTCTCTGCTACGAAGCCTTTGCACCACAAATCTTAAGAAAAGTTTTATGTTAATGCTGACCTTTTCATTCCTTGAAGAGATCCTATTAAAAATTCACAACCTGCTGTGTTAGTTGTAAATTCACTAAGCAGATAAAGGACATAGCAGAATACATGACAATTAAAGAAAATAGAACAACTGGTTCCTTGCCATACTAATTTTAAATTTTTTATTTCATATTATTTACATTTCCCTAAATTGGAGAACATTTCATTTTGAGTCATTATCACTTTCACTCCATTCTACTAGTATAAATAGCCTAAAGGAAAGTAACAGATTTATTAAGCATTCAGTATTGATTTAATACCCATTATCTAAGTAATATAATGCACATCTTCCACTGCTAATGACCTTTAGTACTGGACCATCCACAACGAAAAATATATTCTGTTACATTGCTTTGTTTAGTAGAGTAATGTGGTTGGCTCATTTGATCCTTTGGATACACTTACTATTATTTCTCTCATCATCTTTTTACAAAATTCCTTGCCATCTCACTGATTTCACAACTAACTGAAAGAATCGGGCATTTAGATTTATTTTCAGCTGGAAACGTATACTTCATTTATTTTGTGGTGCAACAGGAGGGTCATACCACATAGACCTTCTGATTAATCTTTAAGAACTTTTTGAATATTCCTGATTTTAGGGATGCAATGATAAGAAAAGCATTTTAAAGCATATAAGCAACATATGCAGACATATGGAAACAATGCAGATTATTAAGTATTTATTGATGAGTCTATACTGCCATATAGAAAAAATAAGCATTAACTGTATTCACGAGATTTACAAGTGATGTAATTACTGTTGAGAACTACTTGGTGGTAGGTGGTTTTGTTTTGTAGATCCTGTAAAGCACACTTAACTATTTCATTAGTACATCTACATGTACAACAGTGAAAAATAATACAAGTAGACAGAAGCAGAAAAAGCACTGATAGATAGTAAATTTCTAATTAGAGCCTGCATTATTTTTTAATGTTTAAGAACAATATAAAGATTGTTCTTAAAAATCAGACTCAAAAAGCACTAGAATGTTCCAGAAAGTTTAAGCTAAAACGAGGGCATCCTTTTTCCCGTCCAGCATTCTGAACACAGTTGCCTGAACACACCTTAACAGCATCGCACAGAATTATACAAAGACCAGGTCCTGTCCTCTGAAGGGTCCCACTTCAGGTTATGGAAAACATCACGTAGCTAGGCCAGCATAAATATCCCCCTTGGCATGCAGTCATATAATTTTTTCTCTTTCTCTGTGGTGCCTTCATATTATCTACAAAAGCATCTATTTTAAACCAGTATCAGAGGTAGGATATTAAACTAGACGGCCTGTTAGTTTTTTGAATGTAGCATTTCCTTGGCTTTTGCAATGAAACCAAACACCTACAGCAGCATGGTGAAGCTGAAGGCAAACTGTAAACTTCTCTGCTGCAACGCCCTTTCAGACACCGCACGCTTCCCTGGCAGTCACAGCGTGTAGGACAATGCAGGATCTTGGACCCAAGTCTCCCTTATGGAAATTTAGGAAACTGTTGTTATTCTAGATTTTGCTTTTTTATAGAAGGGTTTTCCTGTTTTATTTCAATTCAGAAACAAACCTTGAGAATCACTGCAAATATTTAGCAAAGAATGACCAAGTAAACTGTGCTTACATTACCGTTAAACCACATGGCATACATTTACAAAATACACATTTTCTTACTGCTTTCTTTATGAAGAACATGAAGAGAGCAGCAAAGTTGCAGTAAGAGAAATCTCTTGCAAGTAAATGCTGTTCTTTCTTTTCCTTCCATATCTCTTGCCAACTCCAAACTGAAGGTTTCAAACCATTCCCACTACCCTTTTGGCAACTAGTTTATTGTGATCTTTCATCCTTCCTGCTCTTTTCCCACAGTCCATCATAGCTGTGTTCTGTCACCCTTTCATTACAGAGTTAATGGTCTTTTTAGAGGACTGGAGACTGTGAACCATTTTATACTGTTCTTCAGTGCAGCTAGTCCTCAAAAGTGCGTTAGATGTTATCTTCTCCTGGGTTTCCCAGGATATCACCTTATCTTCAAAACTGTTTTGGTACCAAGAGTTCACTGGTGGCCCCTGACCACTAGACACAATATTGCCACGGCAGCAGTGAAGGACAGCTATAGGAGGCTGCTCTTCTGGTGTCTGCATGTGAAATACAAAATCAGGGCCCTGCTGAGTGAGAAAGACTAAGGCAAGGTAAAAAAAAAAAAAATTGTTCAGACAAGAACACTGCAATATTCTCAAATGCTTTCCAAAGTTAGGTCTGGTATTACAAATTCTCACAAACTCAGACCAGATGGCCACGTTAGGAACAATAAATTGAGGCTGCAGTGCCCGTTCTTTAACTCGGAAACGAGTTAGCAGACTCTGGCAATATGCACTCTAATACATTTTCAGTCATCAGAATAGTATGATCCCATGCAAACCGTTATGGGGAACGGTCCCTGGCCAAGTTAACTCATAAATCATGCAAGGAAGTTGTTTGGGAGAGCAATACTTAGCAAAAGCGTGCCAGGGACTTGTCTAATACTTTAACAATCCAGATAATCACTTTCCAGTACCTGGGAATGTTGTCGAAGCACAGACATGGCAGAGTGAACAGAACGGAACTGAATCTAAAAACAGAAGACAGCCCCGACCCTAGCAAATATGAAGCTTTTAGACAGCTATATTCAGCTCCAATGCAGGATGTAAAGATCTTTCAACATACTTATTTGTCTAATATGTAATCTACCCTCCACGTTGATAACTTTTTGTCTCTTATCCTGTCGCTCTCTGTACGTCAAAAATTCTTATTAGGCTGATAAAAACATACAATTTTGAGATATCCAAATAAAGGCTTTTGGGAAAGTGGTAGTTATATTTCAGAATAAGATATTTATAGAAAATGCCAACCTGTACAGTTCAGAAGAATACTTTAAGCTATAACACTTCACATTTTCTAAAAGCTGTTGATCATGCCACTCCAGATTAGTAATTCAATTTCTATTTTAAATATACACACAACAGTCCTCCCTTATTCTAGAAAAACTTCTAAGTTAGAATGACACTTCAGAGGGTCTCTTTTGGGAGAGCAGGAACTGTAAAGTCATAAACACTATGAACAAGACTTCCAGAGATAATTAAAAGGGTGAAAATGCATTTTAATATATATATATGTACACACATATATAGACACAAACACACACATATATTGCATGCAATACATATATACATATGTAACAATGCATATATATTTTTACTAAATATATAATGTGTATTTAGTAAATATGTATATACACACAGACACATATAGAGAGAGAGAAAATTATATGTAAACAAGAAAACAGAACCCCTCTCACTTCATTTTGGTAGTTCTTAATTCAACCCAAAAGTTGTTAGAGGAATCAGTGTGGCCACAGATGGCCACATGTGCATGACAGCCCTGAACACTGAATCTTTACCCGGCTCCGAAATGCATGAACATTATGTCAGTGAGCACTGCAAGATTTTCATCATTTTACTCCAGTATAAATTTCTCTGCTACTTTTAATATAAAGTGTTTTCTATAGTTATTTTTGCTAATGGGCATCTGTGATTCATGTCAGCTAGGCTGAGAAATGGAGAGACATCTGTTTCATTTAGCAATTTTTTTTCCCACAGAATGATCAGCTGGTAAAGATGTGGTTTTGTTTTCATATCTGTTGTTGGTATTTTGCAAACTCTTGTTCCAGGGAATTTCTTGCTTCTCCTCCACAAAAATACTTCCCTTCTCAGCTGTCAGCAGTACATGCATTTTACACATACTTTATCTCACTGTATAGAAAATCAGAATATCTGTTGGTTTTATTTTATATAGCCCTGATTTATCATACAATAATTGCAATTACCGTGTACCACATTTTTGCATATTAGGTCAGCTACCTAAACTGTTGGTTAGGCTCTAAAATTAGGAAGGATTTCATAAGAATGATAAAGGACAGTATTGCTAAATAGAAGGTAATAAGTATGAAGCAACATTTAAGGGGGTAGCAAAGTGGCGCGTTACATAAATACTTAAAATAGAAACTGAATTACCAATGCAAAATAGAAAGACAAAGAAGTTTAAAAAGATGGAAAATGTTTAGCTTCAATTACAATAAAAAGGAGACTTAAATCAGATGTATTACCTTCTTCAAGGTAAACACAGCTATAAATACAATTAGTTAATGAAAAGACGCCAGAAGCAAATTCAACTCAGTATCTGTTTAGACCAGTAAAAGATCTTTCAGAAGATTTTAGATTAACAACATAATAGCTCTAGTCTAAAAATGACTTGAAAATTACATTGGGGGAATTCTATGTTAATTGTCTTCCAAGGATTCAGATTAAACCTGTCCATTACAAGAGATTTTTTTTCTATCAGTCCAAGCCAGCCTGAAAGAGCCTAATGAAATATAAAGGTTATGAGCTGTTTTGTAATATTTATTAGCATAAAAAGTGTTAATTTTCACCAAGAAAGCCAGAAGATGCTACTGTGAAAAACAGAGAGAGCAGATCAGGTTAGTCAGACTTATTTTAACATATATAAACTACCTCTGGAATTTGAAGTGACTCATAGCAATGCCAGATAATAAGACTTTAAGATTTGCAACACCTATTTCTATTTGAATTTCAGATGCAGAAGTCATTTTATGAATTTTCAATGCTCAAAATACATATAACTAGAGATC